ACAAAAATAGTGTAATTCTGGCTACAGACCCTTTAGGCTGGTAGAAGAGGTATTTTCCTCTCTACCCAATGCCATGGTTCAAGAGTGGCAGTTTCCTTGTGGTTCCATCCATGGTTTGGTTGTATGCGTAGGAGACAGGTTTATTTCTCGCTCACCCTTACACTGAATGCTTATCCTTTTGGTTTAAGGGAGCTTTTATTAGGTTCCTCGCTTTGGGTAGGTCTTGTGTTTCATCTCCTGTTCTCAGCTCCCTGTAAATTAAAAAAAAAAAAAAAAAACTGACATTTACATTTACCAGGCTTTGACAAGCACTCTCAAAATGAAACCAGTTTCACTGCTCCCTTTATTACCTAGTTTCCCACTTCAGTTTTTGGCCTGTGTGTATAAATACATATTTGTTCTCTCAGCCCCTTGATGCATTTAAGAAGATGCTTTGCATATTATAAATGGAGTTTTTGGTGGTTTTCAGCAGGTGGCTTGCTTGGAACTCTGTTATAAATTTTATGGGGGACACAATACAGCTCATATGTTGAAGTCCTAACACCCCGTACCTCAAAATTGTGACTGTATTTGAACTTAGGGTATCTTTAAATAGGTGACTAAGTTAAAATGAACATTATGGTGAGTTCTAATCCAATATGACTAGTGCCCTTTTAAGAAGAGTAAATTAGAACTGCAATAATATATCACCTCACACTTGTTAGAATGACTAAAATAAAAAACACAGGAAACAACACGTGTTGATGAGGGTGTTAGGGGGAAAAAAAGCCGTCTTGCACTATTAGTGGGAATGAAAGTTGGTGCAGCCATTCTGGAAAATAGTATGAAGTTAACTCAAAAACTTACAAATAAAACTACCCTACAATCGAGCTATCACACTACTGGATATTTATACAAAGGATACAAAAACACGAATTCCAAGGGATACATGCACCCCTATGTTGCCTTCAGCATTATTTATAACAGCCAGACTATGGAAGCAGCCCCCGTGTCCGTGTACAGATGAATCGATAAAGAAGGTGTGATACACATATATCACACACACACAGTGGAATGCGACTCAGCCATAGAAAGAACGTAATCTTGCCATTTTCAACGATATGGATCGAGTTAGAGAGGGTAATGCTGCACAGAGTAAGTTCAGTCAGGGAAAGACAAATACCGCAAGATTTCATTCAAATGGGGAATGTAAGAAACAAAACAAATGAGCAAAGGAAAGAAAGAGAGAGAGACAAACCAAGAAACAGACTCTTAGCTCCAGAGAACAAACTGAGGGCCACCAGTGGGGAGGGGCTAGGGGAAGGGTAAGTAGATGGAGGGGATGCAGAGTACCTATCACGATGAGCACTGGGTGACGCATAGAATCGTCGAATCACTTTGTTGTACCCGAAACTAACAGAACGCCGTATGTTCACGATACTGGAATTAAATTTAAAAGCTTAATGAAAAAGAAAAGGAAATTAGAACAGAGACGTACAGAGGGAAGACGATACAAAGACACAGGGAGAAGACCGCAGTCTACAAACCAAAGAGAGAGGCCTCAAGAAGGAATCAACTCTGCCAGCACTTTGATCTCGGACTTCTAACCTCCAGAACTGCGAGGAAATCTGTTGTTTAAGCCATCCGTTCTGGGCTACTTTGCTCTAGCAGCCCTAGCAGACTAATACAGGAGCTCCCTCCCCGTTCATTTGTTTGGTTAATCAGTAGTTGAGAGCACCAGAACCATTACTACGGGACTGGTTATTGAATTTATTTATTTTCTTGCGACTGTGATGTTTCTTCTCACTCCTCCCTGCTGTCTCCCTTTTGACCATCTCATTGTTCTTCAACACTCATCCACACCGTGAAAGAGGAAAATGGAGACAAGAAATCCCCATTTCTTCTGCTGTACCCCCTAGCTCATGTCTCGGGTTTCTTAGTGTGATGTTGTCGGAGGGAGAAAATTTTAGGCCAGGTCAAGTTTTTGTATTGCTCCATTTATTATTCTGGAGGATTCCACGTATTTTAATAACACAGCCTCTTGTTGTATCGTTACAAATGACACTCATAGGCCAAGGTGTAATTTATGCTAAACAACAAATTTCAGTTGAGTAAATTTTAAAGATCAAGTTGAAAGCATAAGGTCGAACAAAAATCAAAATGGCTGCCCTGAATGCTTCAACGAAGCTGTTTCCCTCTTTCCTGCCAACCTTCCCTCTTCCCTCCTTAGCATTTTGTTTCAGGAACCCTGTACTACCCTGAAAAACCACCACCCAGCCTGACAACACATAAATAATTCCTGTCAAAACCAGCTAGAGCCTGTGTGTCCTTATAAAACCCTCCAGCCCCTTCCTCTGGGCAGACCTGCGGGTTTTGAAGGCCGTAGCCCGCTGCAGCCTGCTCTCTCTGGCAAAGCAACACAGACATGGTTCCTCTTTATCCCAAACTCTGTCCTCGAGTTTTATTTTGGCTCTGAAGCACAGAGATCGGTTTTCAACAACATTACTGGTTTATTCAATAATTCATAAGTCAGGCAGCATCCAGAAAGGAGCTCCGAGGAGCTGTACCAAATGAAAGACTTTCATAGACAGATGGGAGTTGGAACAAGGAAGTTATACTAGACAAAAAAGCGAATGGTGATGGCAAGTTCACTTTCCTTTAGGGATGGCAGGGCTCTATCAGGCAGACTACCTAACGAGGGATTTCTGATTGGGTGGTTTGAGATTCCATTTCTGGGAGAGCTGAAACTGTATTCTCAGTTGGCGACATGGGGCTTAGCCTTAAGCGACTCCATTTTGGGCCCATTGTCTTGTTTTTAACATCTGCAGTATATTATATATTGCTCAAGACCCATAGGTTTTTAAGCTACTCAAATAACATAGCAAAGTCAAGTCACAGGGAAACCATCAGGGTGGTTTTATCAAGTAGTTATATTTTTTGGACATTTTAAATTAAAAAAACACCCCCTAGTCCATCTAATTTTTATAATTTTAGTTCCAAAAATAAATACTTAGAAAAGTAGAAGGGATCATTATTTATTACTCAAATTAGTTCAAATTTTACAACACAGGCAATGAGTCAATTTTCCTCAGTGGAAATCTTATGCAGGCTTTTCTAAAAATTTTACATTATTTTTGGAGATAATAAGATGTAGCACAGAAACAGATGGAGAATCAAAAACAAATACTTGTTTTAGCAAAGTAAGTTGGACTTGGGTTTAAGTACCAAGTGAGTCACAATGTCTGTTCTGTCGGACCAGTTTAATTTCATTATAATTACTCAGGCCTAATGAAGTAGTCTTCACAACGTATGTGTGATACTATGACTTAAAAAAATATATTTTGATTCTCGGAATAGCCAAAATGTGTTTCTTAAATATATTTGGTCTTCCACAGTCCCTGGCTTGCAGCTGCCCAAACCCTCCTTAGTTCCTCAGGGTTGAAGGTCAAGGTGTCTTTTGTTATGTAAATGAAGTGACTTTCCCATGCGTTCGAAGGAAGGGGCTCAATGTCTGGAGAACCAATCCCATGACCAGAGGTGTGGCACTTTGAGCTCCACACCCGGGCCATCAGGAGAGGAGCTGGAAGTTGAATCAATCCAATGGCTAATGATTTAATTGGTTGTGCTCATATAGGGAAGTCTCTACAAAAACCCAAAAGGATGGGGTTCAGAGAGCTTTTGGGTTGGTGAGCGCACGAGTATTTGGGGAGAAAGTGTTATGCTTGGAGAGGGCATGGGTGCTCTGTGCCCTTTTCCCATACCTGGCCCTGAGCATCTCTTTGATCTGGCTTTTCTGGGTTTTATCCTTTTCTAACAAACCTGTGACCGAGTAAGTAAGAAGTTTCTCCGAATTTTGGGAACCACTCATTCAGATTAATGGAACTCAAGGAGAGGGTTGTGGGAAGCTTCAGTCCGTAGCCAAAGGGTCCGAAGCACAGGAGACCAGCCAGGCTTGCATGTGGTGCGTGTGTGGGAAAGGCAGGCTCAGAGGATTGAATCCTTAGCCTGTGGAATCTGATGCCATCTCCAGGTAGGTAGAGTCAGAATTGCTTGTTGGCCTTCGGGGAACCCTCACATGCACTGGAATTGACACCAGGACCCATTTTAATATGAAAAAGGTGTGTTGTCACATATATGCATTTGGTTGGGGGAATCTGGGGTTCCGGGTCCTCTAAGGATGGATGCGGATGCGGAGGGAACAGGAGGGACGCTGAGGACATCAGAGGATGAGGCCCTGCACCCGCCCACCAGGGGATATATGTGACATTCCTCAGGCACTCCTGCCGGCCCTGAAGGAAAAACAAATGGTTAACTCGTAGAGATCACAACCCTGCAAGACCTGAGTCTCCCTCGGTTTACAAATGTCCTTGTGGTTTACAAAGAAGCAGCTTTCCTACCAACAGCCTAACTTCCAGAGAGCCAGGACTCAGTTCCTGAAGCCCTGACATCGCCCTCCCCTCCATAAAGTTGCGGGAAGCTGAGGCAGAAGGAAATGTAAATAACGTTGGATTTCTTCTAAACCTAAAGCTCATTGACAATGACGTGTGATAGGAGGAGTGTGACATCCCACCAGGAAACTCCCAGCTGTCTTCATGTTGGTACCTCATTAGAGGGAAAACAGCTCGGCTTGATCATAACTAGCTCTCCATTACCCTGAGAGTCTTCTTACCATATGACAGTCCTTCTGGACACCCTCGTTGTCCTCACCTCCCCAGCTTCCGAGGGTATAATCAACCGCTCGTCTGGATGCAGGGCTGCAGCTCTTTCTGCCCATGGGTCCTGTCCTTATGCCTTCATGAAACACCATTTTGCACCAAAGACGTCTGAAGAATTCTTTCTTGGTCACGGACTCTGGGCCTCACTTATATTCTAAAACTTCATCACTGAAATGAGGCTTTAAAAAATATAACAATCTTGGGTGCCTGGGTGGCTCGGTGGGTTATAGCCTCTGCCTTTGGCTCAGGTCATGATCTCAGGGTCCTGGGACATCGGGGTCTGCTCCGCAGGGAGCCTCTTCCTCATCTCTCTCTCTGCCGGCTTGTGATCTCTGTCTGTCAAATAAATAAATAAAATCTTTTTAAAAATCCAATATAAAAATATATAACAATCTCATTCTTTTATAGTCTGAGTACCTTAGGCATTTATTAAATCAGAGCATTTCAAATTTTTCAGAAAAGAGGTGGTATAAAACTCAATTTACATAATGAAAATAAAATCGGATTCCCTAGAAAAAGTAAACTATGCACCTTACTTCTTAAGAACATAGGAAGGAGAAATGTTAACATTTGGAAATAGAGAAGGCAGTGGAAACTCCTGCTCAGCCAGCCGAAAGAGGGGAGGCCCAGGAGGTAGAAGAAGGGGTGTTCTAGAGAGATCCACACAAGGGGAGAAAACTTGGCTACCCCTGAGGACTCCTGGGGACAGGACTCCTGGAAGCCTATCAGATCCTCATGTAGGAGAGCACGGTGCATTTTGAAGACAGACTCACGGAGCTGTAATTTTTTTTTTTTTAAGATTTATTTTATTTATCTGAGAGAGCGAGAGAGAGCAAGAGAAATTTATTCCTACCCAAGCGTGAGCAGTTAATCAACGGAGGAGGAGAAATTACTCATCAGAGAAGTTTGCATTGTTTGGTGAAGAGGGAATTTCACGTAGAGGGCAGGAGAGGTTGAGGAGAGCAGAGCTGAGATAGGAGAGCGCAGGGTTTTAGCCCGTCTGGGTCTCTTCCTCTCCAGTGTTTATTGACAAGTAGCAGAGTCTGTGAAGGCAGTTTGAGGTGGCAGCCTTGGAAGTCCTGCCCCTAGGCCCCATTCTGCTACCAAGGTTGTGAAGCAGAATTTACGAGGCTGATTTTATTGTCGTACTCCGTCGCCAGTGCCAGCAGCGGGATTCATAAGGAAGGTCATCTTCACAGAGCCCAGTGAGCTGACGTCCCATGACTGGATTCAAACTAATTTCTGTAACTTCTTGTGCTTTATTCAACAGAGTGTTCACCCCACATTTTTTTTTCTTCTTAACAACTCAGTAGCACTTATTAGGTAAGATCTTATTTTACTTTATAACCTACCTCCTCCCGCAAAGCGTTTCAGGCTGCTAGCGGGAAATACACTTGATTGATGCAAACCACTGCATTTTGCTTAAGAAGTGTTGGGTCTTGTCGCTTGTCACTGTGAGGGAACAGAAAGCCCGGGTTAACCAGCTGGAGGGAGGGAGCTGTTCTCCACCACCCACCGGCCTGACCTGCCCGATGAAGCTGCCCGGGGGCTGGGTGACTTCGGGCGCCACAAACAGCATTTGTGATTCAAACCGAACCAGCCCAGGAACTCACTTTGTTTACGCTGCCTCCCTGAGTCATTTTCTCTTTTTTTTTTTTAATGGGCACTTAGTAATCCAAATAAATCTTCCTATAAATGGAGGAAACATTTTTGAGGGATGTGAAGGTCTTCCAAATTCCTCATTATGAAGCCTTCTTAAAGTCGCCTAAAGACTTTTTTGGGTAACTTCTTATTTTAAAAGTTGCATAGGAAGTACATTCTTACCGTAAAAGTATGAAAGCAGGTATTCAAGTCCACCTTTACTGAAGTTCTTCTTCTGCCTTTTCTAGAACTGAGGCCCTTTCCTCGGGGCTCTGGAGAGTGGTGAGGAGAGCAGGGCTGGGTGGAGGTACCTCCTTGCTTCTGCTTCTGCATCGTTCTCTGTATGAGTCAGAACAGGCTCAGCGATTTGCAGCAACAAACAAACCCTAAAAGCTCCCTCGGCTCACTCACTCATGCGAAGTCACCGTGGTCCGGTGGCTTTTCAGGGCAGCTCCCCTCCAAGCACCGACTTAGGAACCAGGTCGCTTTCATCTTACAGCTTCTCCGGAAACACAAGTCTTGCAGCAACACTGAAGCAGGGGGTGAGCAAGAGTGAGAACACGTATGTGCTCTCCACGGCGATAGACTGGAAGTGACACATCATTCCCACTCTCAGCTCTTTGGCCAGAGCTCATGCATGGCCCCTACTTAAGTCCCGGGGAGGCTGGAAAGTGCCTCTGTGTGCCCAAGACCGAGAGGAAAACCAATTACGATGAGCACCACCAAGATTTTACCATATTTTCTTTCTTCTTAATGTCCTTTGCACGCAGCAGTGTTGACCCCAAATGTCCTCAACTTGTTTGCTGGTATCTCTAGACCCATTCCCGAGAACTTTCCTTAGCAGGAAGCTATCAGAGGCACGTTAGAGGCTGAAGAAGGAGAGGGATTGGACACTGTGTGTGATACCTGTAAGGTATGAAATCTTTCAAAGGATAAGATTCCAATGCTTGAGAAGAGAGAAACCAGTAGAAACCAATTTTCCTTGCCCCAAACCCATTTGCCATCTAGCCCCCCCAGGGTATTATAATGGGGCGGTGGAATTCTCCATTGGACCCTGCCACTGAATAATGATGGGGTTGGTCGCTTTCTTCCCTTGAGCGTCAATTTCCAGAGAGGAGAATCGATTTGCTGCTGGTCTGTGAGGGAAAAAGAGACGACAGTGTAGGACATTTTTGGAAATACTTACGATTTATCCTCAGAGATCTATGAACTTTCTACTTTCTTGCTTCCAAAGTATCCTATGCCTATCTGTCCCTGGCTCCCCAATCCCAGCTTTCCCTCCCACTTCACACCTGTAGGTATTTACACTCGCATTTAAAACACACACACACACACACACACACACACACACACACAGTTGACTTCAGAAATACTCTCAGGGGGGCGTCTGGGTGGCTCAGTCGGTTAAAGCCTCTGCCTTTGGCTGGGGTCATAATCCCAGGGTCCTGGGATGGAGCCCCATGTTGGGGCTCCCTGCTCAGCGGGGAGTCTGCTTCTCCTTCTCTCTCTGCCTCTCTCCCTGGCTTGTGCTCTCTCTCACTCACTCTCAAATAAATAAATAAAATCTTTTAAAAAAATTATCTAAATCAGTTTCCAAAACCCTCTGTTTCTACCCCTAAGTCCTCAACCCTGGTGGAGCCAGATGATTATTCGTGAGTTAAATATCTGGCATAATTTGTGGTTATAAGAGCCTTTTTAAATTTGTAATTCAATCCAGATGTAGTTTATGAGCAACATTTTAATTAAGCTATTAATTCCATTAGTGTTTGGGTTTATACATCCTATGCAATGAGATCTTTGCATTTTTCTGATTGCTCCTTATTCCCCAATTTGCTCTGACTTAAGACCTTTAGTTACATAATTTTTATATCATGATATTTTGGCCAACCTATTTCCATTCTTTTTTTTTTTTTTTTTTAAATATTTTATTTGTTTTTTGACAGACAGAGATCACAAGTAGGCAGAAAGGCAGAAAGAGAGAGGGGGGAAGCAGGCTCCCTGCTGAGCAGAGAGCCCGATGCGGAGCTCGATCCCAGGATCCTGGGATCATGACCTGAGCTGAAGGCAGAGGCTTAACCCACTGAGCCACCCAGGCGCCCCCCTATTTCCATTCTTTCAAAAAATTAGGTCTTTCTAGAATGATCTGGCCCCCACGCTGTAGGTATGCATGGTCAGATGATTATAGACAGGGAGAAAGTGGTCACCAGTTTCTCTAGATTTAAGGAGGAGGAAGGCCAAAAGCCAAAGCAGAGTCAAAGAGGCCCAGGGCCCTTGCTAAAGAGGAAGTAATGTCCCTTTGGCAGTAACCTCATCAGATTCACCACTCAGATCTCTCTGCCCACCCCCTCTCTATATACATACAGAATGAGACCAGTTTGCCCACATACATTAAGGTGGATAAGCAAAGACAGGCTCATCTTAGCTCTTCCCTACCCACGACAGAGTGTGGAAGCTGATTCTAAGTTTCCAGGAATGTGTTCTCTAAACATGAGAGCTTCTGGACTCTTCTCTCCTGTGGAGAGGTGTTTAAGATGGTTCTCATTCACAGTGTATAACATGAAAAGGGTTAATATAAGAAGAGACATTTGAAGATGTAGTTCATTTGAAGTAAAACAGACCATTTTAAGGATTTATTACTCTGCCTTCCCAAAACGAGAGGCTTTGAGAGGTTTGCTGGCTTCATTCGGATGTCCAAGAGAAGAGAGGTCATGCTAGTATCTCTGGGTTCTCAAGTTACTCTTACAACCACAAGACCACATTTCCTTCCTCTCTTATTGATATGCAGAGAGCAATGCAAGATGTAAGCAGCTGGGGTGGGAACAAAGGCATGAAGGAAAACACCACAGTGTTACTTAGCAAGTGTGCAAAATAAAATCTGAATTTAAATGACTCTTTTCAGGCATTACTTTGTAAATTCGATAGACTATTGTCATTATGTATTTTAAATCAATGAAACGGTTTATTAAAAGCCTATCATAGTTAGGCACTGTGAGACGTACCAGGCATACAAAGCATGCACAAAACGAAGCCCCTACTGTCAGGTACTAAAAATCATCACTGAGGAACCAACCACGAGGAGCAGTGTGGTAGACATTCCCAGCCCAGATCCCTTTTACAGGCGGGGACAGCCATCCTTTGGCGGCTGAAAATGCCTGTGCTAACATCTTAGAGCCGTGACTTGCTCCAGAGACCTGACCTGGGCTAAGTAGGGCTATTTCGCTGGAAACCTCTGAGAGGTTATACCCTCCCTTCTCCAAGGGTGACCGAGGACTGACTCATTTCCACTCTTTCATATTTTCCCCAGATTTTACCTGGGACCATATCATGATGCAGCTCTTTTCTGTACTGCTCCCTCCTCTCCTCACACTCAGGTTTTTCCTAAAAAGTGTTCGCTCAGCAAAGTAGACATATCAGAATCCCTTCTTGGGCTCTGCAACTACAAAGCCCGACAGGTGTTGTTTGAGGTGACTGGATAGGTTACTAGATGTGTTGTCTAGGGGAGGATTAGGAACATTATGTAGGTCTGTAAGAGTCTTAATGGAGACCCCAATATTTAACATGCTGCCTCATATCCCCTCTATTTTTCTTCTAAAGACTAAACAGTCTGGTTTTTCAGTGCCACTTTTTAATATTTGTTGACACTTAGAGATATTCTTTCCGGGGCGGACTAACAGAACAGTAAATATGTATGTATCTACCTGAATAGTATGTGTTTTCGCACTTTCCCACAATTGTGTGGTCATTAAAAGCCCTTCAGTCAAGAAATGCTTTTTGGGGTGCCTGAGTGGCTCAGTCATTGGGGGTCTGTCTTTGGCTCAGGTCATGATCCCAGCATCCTGGGATCAAGTCCTGCATCAGGCTCCCTGCTCCATGGGAAGTCGGCCTCTCCCTCTCCCTGCTTGTGTTCCCTCTCTCGCTTGTGTCTCTGTCAAGTAAATAAATAAAATCTTAAAAAAACAAAAAAGACACGTTTTTCCATGCTCCTTACAGATTAATAGAATAGAATGTATCTAGGGGGAAACTGGTAGCCTTCCTATAGAGGCAGTCTTCCTTAGCAAAGCTCTTACAAAGTGTTGGGAGATTTAGCTATTGTATTCATTATTCCTGCATCTCAACAAGTGAGTTTATGACCACATCATAAAGAACAGAATCAATGGAAACCTTTACTAAAATTGAAATTATTTTTATGATAATGCCAGGTTCTTTCTGGTGGAGGTACTTCCTGCTGTCCCTTCTCCTAACTCTTATAGGCTGGTCCCTCCAAGCAATCACGTGCTCCTTTTCAACTCTCCTGTGTCGTTACGGCATAACCATTGCATCACCAAATCCTAAATATTAACAAGTTAGGTTGAATTATTAGAGACAGATTAAAATATAAGCGCCATTTCAAGAATGTGTCTCTCCTCCCACACTGCACAAGGATGATCGATTATTTAAAGACAAAAACAGGGCAGTGTTAAAGAAAAACTTGTTCATGTCTCGTTCGAGATGGTAAGGCAGACTTCACTCAAGCGGGGACTACCTCGTTGGAGTTCTGTAGTTAAAGAGATAGATCTGACTCAACTTGGACTCCCACAGGACAAGCCAAGGGAGGTGGGGAAGTCAGTGGATGGAAAATTACCAAGAGGAAACATTGTGGGTCAAGGAGGACTCTTGTAGGCAGGTTCAGTAGAATTCTTGCTACAGGCAGGTCCAGGGGATAAGATATCAGTAAACTGACTGAGCAGGATTCCTGTTCAGACCGGGTTCTGCAAAGACAAAGAGGGAAACCCGAGGTCTGGCCTAGTCTGGCAGAGAGCTCATGGGAAGCTGGTTAGAATGAGGTCAAGGAGACTGTCTTCATTAGCAGTACCCAAGAGTCAGTGGAGGTTATAAAGTCAGTGTGATAATAGCTAACCCTTAGTATGGCCAACGCTATTCCGAGGGCTTTGCAATGTTAATTAATCTTCACAATAATTGTGGGTGGATAATGTTACCATTCCCATTTTGTAGGTGAGGAAACTGAGGCACAGAGAGTTTAGGCGACTTTCCCTAAGCCTCCCAGCTATCATCTGAAGGATTTGAACCTAGGAAGTCTGGTTATGAGTCCATAGTTTAACCAGTAAGACATACTGTCTTTTTGTGCTAGAGATAAATAGAATCCAAGTCTACCATCTGATTATAGATGTTATAACTGACAGAATGAGCTGGAAGCTCTGACAGAATAATTTATAATCTCCTTTCATTGGTTACTGTACCATAGGTACAGACAGAATTTTAGATTAAATAGGTCAGTTTCTTAGATGAGTTCCAACCCCTTAAATGAAAAGGGAGCTGAAAGTATGGTTAATACTTATGAAAAGGCGTGTGAACATCAATGTTCCCTTTTA